CCTGAATCTTCGACGTAATAAAAGTAGGACTGAAAATCATAAAAAGGAAAAAAACCCAGCAACCCTGCATGTCGGGGTTCTGTTCAAAGATAATGCCTACTTTACAACTTTAGAAATTAAATTATTTCGGTTTTTCTTTTTATTTTTTTAAATTTTAAATTCATTAAAGAAAGAATTCATTTTAGACTTCTTTAAATTTATAATCAATTAGGAAATGTTTTTGACTGTTTTTGATATTATCTGTCCAATAATATTTTCATGAATAAAATGTTATCATTCTTATCTTTGTTTTAAATACAAATATGTAAGTACATTATTTTTTCAATAGAAGAATATTTTATTTTGACCGAGATAATGGAAATTAATTCTTTATTTTTAACAAATTAATGTTTTTACATATCAGTAAGAAGATTATTTTATGTATTATTCTAAAAAATTCTGATTTGATTTAATTAAAAGTCTGGGCGTTTCTTAACCGAGTCATTTTTCTGTCATTTATTTTGTTTTAAAATAAAAGTTTGATAATACTCTAAAATCACTATCAATTTTTTTTAATTTTAAAATAAAATCCCTAACTACAGTAGTTTTTAAATAATTTATTCTTATTAGGCATTTAATATTTTCTAAAAATGTCTGAAAATAAGAAAAGATGCGCAATCGTTGGCGCGGCAGTGAGTGGGTTACCTTCAGCCAGGTTCTGTTTAATTTCAAAAAAATGTCTTTAAATGAGTTTTTAATCTAAAGATGGGCAATTGAGTATGGTTATGAACCAGTTATTTTTGAACGTCTTGATCAGCTTGGGGGTCTCTGGCGTTACAATCCTGAACAGTTTGGAAATGATATAGCTAGTGTTATGAAATTTACAGTTATAGACAGTAAATTAAATAAAATAGCTATTTTAGTATGAATATTAATAATTATAGCGAGTAAAGAAATGAATGCATTCAGTGATTTCCCGCCTCCAGATCACTTTGCTAATTATATGCATAATGTAGGAAATTTATAATACTAGTGTTAAAGTTAATGAAAGTTGTTATTGACATGTTTCCCGGGGCAGACGGGATTAGTAAAATTTAAGAACCACCAGTCCATGGAAACATACATTCCCTTTATTTAGAAGATAAGGAATAATAATTAGGTAGATTATTTAAAAGGATAAAACTAATGAAAAGATGAGCTCATTTTTATGAGAAAAATCTTATTATGACCAGTCCATAGACCAAGCATACTTAATCAAGAAACTCTTGTACTTCCTAGATTAAAATGTAACTTTTAAGAATCTTTCAAAGACTTGTATCCAGCTATAATAAATTAAATTTTGAGATAAGATATAAGATGATTTTAGCTTTTTCCAGACTAAAATGATTGAATATTTGGAAATGTATGCAAAACATTGGAACTTGGATAAATACATTCGGTAATTAACATTGCCTTTAAAATGCCAAATTGAAGAATTCAATTTTAAGCTATAGAAATACGGTAACTTCTGTGAGTCGAGCTGACGATTATGAAGAAAATGGGTGTTGGACAGTCTGTTGGGTTGATGAAAATGGACAAAATAAAAAAGAAATATTCGATTGTGTTCTTTTAGCTCAAGGACATCATGCAAAACCCAAGATTATAAACTTTCCTGGCCAAGAAATTTTTCAGGGAAAGATAATACATTCACACGAATACAAGGATTCGAAAAACTTTGAAGACAAAGTAATTTATTTTTTATGGAGGAGAATATAATTTTCCATTAATTTACAATCTTAGATTAATGTTGTAGTTGGTGTTGGGAATAGTGGAATGGATTTAGCGGTGGAATTGGGTAGTTTATATTTTACAGAGAATTACCCTAATTTTTGTGGAATATTAAGGCCGTGTTAGTAAACTCTGTTATTTGTCTACAAGGAGAGGTGCATGGGTGGATAAAAGAGTTGGCCCTGGTGGAATTCCAGGTATAATTTAAAACTTAGGTAATAGACAGCGTGTACTAGAGATTGGAGAAGAAATCCACACAAATGTCATGGGTAGGATTGTTGGAAACGAGGATTTTTCAGATCTGGATATCCAAAGATTCACTAGTAACTGACAGCTCTGGTCATGGATTTCTTATTTCACTTTCGTGTAAATTTTTAATTATTTTATTAGGAGACTACGCTACTACTCGTTTTAAATGCTGTTTTTGGGACGCTTGGATACCCGAAAATTTGCGTAGCTGGCTGATAATAAATCAATTACAGAAACGTTTTGACCATGCTAAATATGGAATGAAACCCAAACACTCATTTTATGGGTTTGTTTTTGTCGTTAAAATAAATTATCAAAAAATGATAGTCAACACGCAACGATAAGTGATGATCTTCCAACACGTATTATTACCGGATCTGGTATGTAAAATATAAAAAATCAAAGCTAATAGTAAAAAATTCTCTGTTAGTTGTGGTTAAAACAAATATTCGCGAATTCACCGAAAAAGGAATTGTTTGGACAGATGGAACTTTTACAGATAATATCGATAATGTGGTAAAAATAAGAGCATTATTTGTTAACAATTTAAAGTAAAAAAGCTTTTTAGGTAATGTGCACTGGTTATCATTTCGATTTTGATATAGTGGAGGAAGGGAAACTTATTCCAGTTAAGGATAACCAAGCTAAATTATATAAAAACGTGTTCCCTCCATCTCTTGCAAAATGGAATAGTTTGGCAATTATTGGGTTAGTTCAGCCGTCAGGTTCGATATTACCAGCAGCTGAATTTCAGGTAAATTAAGGACCTTAAAGTATGCAACGGAGTAGTTGACAGAAATGTTAATGAATAAATCAAAATCTGACCGAGAATAAAAAAATTAAATAATAACTTACTAGGCAAGATTATTCTTTGCTGGACTCAATAGAGAAGCAAAATTGCCTACCGGTCCAGAAATGGAAAAGGAAGTTGATCAGTACAGAGATTGGTTAGCAAAAACTTTTGTAGAAAGTACACGGCACACAATTGAGGTTTATTTGAATATATAAAATTAATTTTGGAAATACTAATTACAGGTAGACTGTGTGCCTTATATGGACTCATTAGCTGAAATTCTTGACTGCAAGCCCAAACCAATGGATTATATTTTATCAGATCCGCGCTTAGCATATGCCCTCATTTTTGGGCCAAACGTCTCTTATGTCTATAGACTTCGAGGAACTAAAGCTTGGAGTGGGGCACGTGATGCAATTCTTGGGGTAAAGAAAAGAACAGAGATTTGCTTGACTGAAAGGAAAATTGATGAAGATAACAATGTTTTGGTGGATAATTTTGTCTGGTTAATATTAATGTCCGGGTCGATTGGGATATTAATATTATTATTAGTTATAAAACTAATTTTTCTGTAGGAAAAAAATATTTTAAAGTCGGACCTCGCTATTAGATTAAAGGTTGAAGCAAATAAATATTTAAATAATGAGGGATATCTAGTTAATGTCCTACATACTGTATTGCTATCAATTTGAAATTAGTACAATTTAATGAATTTTATAATGTAAAACTCTAACAAATCCATTATTAAGTGTATAAAATAAACGCTTTTAGTCCAGCGACTAATTTTTATTCACCTCTTCACATCATTTTATTTTCCGGTTTATTGCTCTTGAGCGATTAGTCCCTTCTTCAAGTCTAACTGTGTCCCCGTGGACCAACTCACACCCAACTCATTATATTTGGAATGCTTTAATAAAATCTTTGTTAAGCTAAGTGTCACCTTGAGCTGATTAATTTTAGGAATGACAATCACTGCGCCTCCCCTGTCGTTTTCATCGAGCTTTACAAAGCCTCGCGCTCCAGTTGTACACAGAAGGCTCTCAAAATATATACCTAAATAGGAATTATTTAACAGGAAAAAGAACTGCTTATTTTGTTTTTTTTAGAATTTTATTTTGTTTTATGGATAGACGTAGTCGCTGGGAAAGTTAGTTTAATATTTCTCAATCTTATTTCCACCTTATAATAAACGCGCTTAGTCTTGCACTATGTAATTTTTATTTATCTCTTCACATCATTTTATTTTACATCAGCTTAAAAATTTAAAAAATGAAAAATTTAATTTTAATTTTACTTTCAATTTTTGTCATTAAAGTATTCCAATTTGGATTGACTGATGGAATGTTTACAAGATATTGTTTGTATTTTTATATCTTTAAATTGTAGTATAATTCACACTGGCATAAAGAATTTAAGAATTCTATTCTTACCTACACATTATTAACTAGAGTTTATATTTTTGGGAATAAATCCTAAAAATTTGAAGCAAAATAGTAACGAAAACCCTTAAAATAGGGAACTTTACATAGTAAAGCTGAATTGGTTATATAGCTATTTCTCTTTCAGCTAGTCAAACACCAGCAGCCTTCCATGAAAATAATTTTTCTCTTATTGAATTGTCCCTTTTAATTCGGACATTTGATCACATTAATATTGAAGAAATGAAATTAGACGGGCCAACAACAAATTTACACAAAAATATGATTGAACGTGGAAATAAAATAAATTCTGCAGTAATTCCAGACACTCCAAAGATTTTTGAATTAGAATCGTTCAAAATAACATCAGAAAAATTAGAGAAGGTTTATCACTAAATTAAAGAAATCCAGCAGGGGCCATTCTATTCGGTGCATTTAACAAGACTTAAGTCCGGGATAACTTTCACCTTAATCGGTCAAGCTCTGAGGATTGATCAGGTATTCAGACTTGCCGAAGCATAGATAGACCGCTTTGTTGTCTCAGGCTTGCCGAATCACATAGGAATAGCATTACATTAATAAGGACTTACTGGGAAGAAAGTAAATCATTATGTAATAAACATTAATGGACGGATATATTTTCTCAGTAAACATGTTTATTGGGGAAATAACAAAACGGAAGGGTGAATCAAAGTGCATTTTAGCCTTTACTGCTAGACTTCACCTTACATTAAAAATAAATTTTATTTTTTATAAAGATTATTAACTATTATAATGAAAAATTTGATACAAAATTAGAGCGCAAAAAGATTGAAATTGGTTTAAAGAATATGAGTGAAGCAATGACGTATCAAAAATACTTTTTATTGTTAAGCAATTCAAGATTTTTACCATATGGAATGGATTACTCATTATTAGATACAAATACAAAATTGACTGAAGTAGCAATAAATACTTTGAATAATAGGGACACTTTTAGGTAATATGTTAATATTTATTTGATTAGAAGAACCCTTTAAATCCCTCGATATCCGTCTCAAAACCCAGTGTAACAAAAAATCAAATAGGTAGTTTCAAAGTATATGTAATTGATAAAATAGTTTAATTTTCCAGTCATTTACAAACTATATTTCAAGTCCTAAGTATTTAAAATATTTTATTAGCTCTGAAATTATTTAACACAAGCTTTGAGTTGTCTGATCCATATCCTCGACCTTGCCCCGGGTCCAAATCAGCCCCTCAACCTCGATCTCGGCTTTTCAATCCTCAGTGATCCTCGGCCTCAGTTTTTTCAAAAAACCTCGACCTCGTTCTACTCTAATCAAAAGCCGTGCTAGTTTATTAATTAATTTCTAATATAAATTAAGTAAGGAGGAACTCTTTTTACTCTCTACACATTTTGAATATCCAAATCCAACCGATCTTGAACGAAATATATTTATTGTTTGGAATTTAATTAAATTAATTCAACATTTAATTCGTTTGTTTATTAAATTTCACGGACAAAATAATTATTACTACAATATTATGTTAATTAATTTATATAATAAAAGAAACGAAAACCCGTAAGCATTTTAATTAAAATAATTTAAAGTATATTAAAACTAGAGAAATTGTTTCAATTCTGATTTATGTTTACCGTTTCAATGATCTTGAAAAATTATCAGAAAAGTTGCTGGGAATTTCTAAGGAAGGTTACTAAAGTTAAATAATCTAAATAAATATACATACACATTAGTACTGGTCAAAACATTCAAATACATGTTTATCATGCGGATATTTCTTTAGTAGGGAAGCTAAAAAATGTGTTTTTTCGTAGCACATTAGGTCCCGATTCCTGAGAATAATTTTGCATATTTGGTAATTTAGAGCATAATTGCATATGAATGCTCGTGGTTGACTTTCGCGAAATTTAACTAGGGGTGTGTAGAAACCTATTCTAAAAAGCGAAACTCGAAAGGCAGAAATAAATTTACGAACTGCAAACCACGAAAGGCTAAACACAAAAAAAAATCAAAATCCGCGAAAGACGAAACGCGAAATTTTTTAGTCTCCGCCATGAGGATTTCTTAAATCGGGGATATTAGAGGATCTGTAGGATTAAGGAGGATATAAGTGAATAGGGGTGGCGTATCATAGGAAATCCCCGGTTACCCAGATCCAATATCCGAACCGAAAATTCAGGATATCCGAATCTGAAACCGAAATTTTTATTAGAGTAGTTAAGTTGTCCGGTGACTGATTTGTAGAGCTAGTTCCACTGTAACGGATAAGAAGCCTATGTATTCCCTTTTTTACGCGTTGGCAAAAATTTTGAGAATTTTGGAAAACATAGAAGCCAGATTATAGGGGTGGCGTATCTTCATTTTTAGCATTGAGGCAAAAATTTTCATAATATATTACAGCTCAATTGTTTTTTTGGTAATATTTGGCAAATTTTTCATAATTCCGCCATAACTTGCCCTAAATCTATTAATTATTATTTAAATTTTCTATGGTTTTAGATAAGTCTATGGTAATAAATTAAAATTTAGGGAATAATTATTTGCTATCAATACTTCAAGATGAGAGCAATGAATATCCAACAAAAATTTCTTTAGATTCTGAAATTCAAGTGGAAGAATTTCTTCCTTTACTTTTCAAAACTTATAGTATGTTTATTTTCTTAATTCGTTATTATACATACTATATGTACGTTATAATTAATAGGATATGGCTTATAAAGAGTTGTCGATCACTAAAATTCTTCATAGACACACGAGAATCTTGATTTGAAGTTTTTTTTATTTCCTTTAAAGAGTATTTTTCGCCAAAACTCGGTTCAGACATAACACGGTTCGAAAAAATTAAAAGAAAATATTGTTTTTGGTTAAGGAAAAATAAATTAAAGAAAAATAACAAACTATAGAGAAATAACCATTTCAAGGAAATGAGGACAAATATGATGCCTGCATTCCTTCCACATAGGGCCTATTTTTATTAAAAATATTTTTTCAGTATTCAACGAAATATTGAGTAAACTTCACTGTGATCTAATTAATCATAAATTAAAGACTTCTCAAAATTTTACTCGTCTATACATTAATCTGAGAAAAAATAATTCAAAAGATCGAAATTTGTTAGAAAAACTTAAAGCGATTTTAGTCAACATATTATTAGCTGATGAAAGGAAACAACATTTACTCTTTAGCGGTTTTCACCACAACATATTGCTGTATCATCCGGATAACAAAACTTTTAAACTACATCAATTGATACTCAATCATGTATTAAAAAATTAATAAAATTGATTTTTCTAAATAATAAATTAAAATAATTTAAAACTTTTTGTTAAATTTAAAGCTGAAAGAAATGTGCCGTAGATATGGAGATACTTCAACTTGGGGATATAAACATAATTTTGTACAAGGAAATGCTTTGGGATACAATCAAGCAAGTATTCAAGGAAATTATTTTAGTGGACATCAGCAAAACCATGGATATCAGACATTCTATGGAAATCAACAAATTTCTAGTCATCAACAAGGTTTAGGGGATTATACAGGAAACGGGCACCAGCTATACCCTGGAAATCTCGAAGGAAATATGAGAATCCAAGGAGGCTCTGGATATAATGAAGAATCAAAGGATACATAAGAAGGAGAATTTGATGACTGAAATAGTGACCGCTGGAAGAAGTTCTTGGAGGTTGGGAATTCAGTCGATGATAATTTAAAGCTTTTTGTTTGATATTTGCCATCTAAATTCTTACAAAAATTTAAATTAAAGATATAACTGAGCCTTTAATTTGTTTATTTTCGGAGTTAAAGCCCGAACATAGCTGTTTCGAAATTTAGATTTCCGATGGGGGTTTCTTTCGAATTTTAATTTTAAAAATTTGATTTTTGTGGATCTAAAATGGATGAATTCTAGCCTAATAAATACTTTTTTAAAAGAAAAAAAGAATGAAGAAGAAATTATTGCCTAAACGTTATTAAGCTTTTATCTTTAATTTAAATTTATTTTTCTTTTTGATAGAATTCCTTAATTTTATAACCACTTCCCCTCTATGTTAAACAATTCCCCCTCCATTATTGAAAACATCCAGTATATTACTGGAATTTAAAGTCGAATAAGGCCGATTTAGCATTTATTTTTTATTTTTTGATAAATTTCTGTCTTGTATTTTATTCTAAAATAATTTATTAGCTTTATTTTTTGATATTTATCATTTAATTGTTTATTCAAGATTCGATAAATTTATGAAAATTATTTTAAAGTTTTTTATTTTTACAATTTTATTTTGTTATGAAAACATCAAGGAACATATTGTAAATCAAGGCTTCGATTCGTAATTATTTTGAGCGGATTCTGCGACATTTGCGCCGCTGTCTTTTGCACTGTGAAATTTGTATGGTTCTGAACTAAAAAATAAAAATATGATTAACAAACGGTTGTGCACCAAAATTTTCGTGCAGCCTACCAAATGCTCAACGCCAATTTTTTAAATTGTCAAGAACTTAAGAAAAGTTATACTCAATACACTAGAAAGTTGGGCCACAAAAATTTAACTTTTAAATAAAATTATCGTTTATAATACAATTACAAAAACTTTAAAAAATTAAAATTTCTAAATTTTTATCGTATGTTGTAGATCTCAGAGAAATTATAGATAAAATTTTGAAATAAATATTCAATAGTGCACGAGTTTGAACTTAATTTTCTTTGTAGAGTCCAAACTCGCGCTTTATCGATGAAAATTTGTATATAAATATGAATATCTAACAGTCAAATTTTAAATTTCCGACAAATTAAAGATTAGTTTAAAATTTGTCGGCGAGACTTAAATATACGTACATTATATGTATATACATGTACGAGCAATGAATCTACATTCATTGCGCGAGCGGTTTTTGAAATAAATGCCACAATGATTTAAACGCTACATATTAAACATGTTGCCCATTCATTAATATTCTCTTTTAAAAAATATTAAAGTTTGAATAATTTTAAAATTTTTGTGGAGTTTTAGTCGTTAAAATATAAATAAGAATTGGGGATATAAAATAATATTTTCAAAAATTTACAAATTTTTTTGGAGGTTATTTTCGTTTCTACTCATATATTAGGATTATTGCAGCTATGTTGCAAAATCCTTAGCTGAACTGGATTAAAACTAAAAATTATCAAGCTTTGGAATCAAACAATTCCCAATCATTACTCTATTTCCTTAAAATTATTTTAAAAACTTTTTGGGATTGGATGTGTTTTAGACTATAAACATAAATATTTAAAATAACGTTTCAAATATTTTTTAGATGAAAGCATTCATTTTGCTTTTCCTCTTGTTTTTTGTGATAGAACAAACTTTATTAATGGATCAGTGGCTGCAACAACAGCATCCAAGAGATTGTTTGTATTTTTTAAATATTTTATTAAATGATCAAATAAACAAATAATTTAATAAATATTTAATGGTGTGAAATTGAAAGTTTTTGAAAAGTTTAGCTTATATGTAGCATCCATATTTTTACTTTCTCAATCAAAATAGTGTTTATTTGGGCTTGTGCCATTATGTTAAGTTTGATTGTCTGTTACTTTCCACTTGCCTTTAGATAAATGCCTAGTTTTGCTTGATAGTTCTGACACTGTTTAAATTCGTTGTTTCCAGTTTTTATGACGCAAACAAAACTTAGCTCTAAAGAATATGTAAGCTACTGAAACAATTAGACACTAAATACATTCAAATGTAGTGTATAAGTCGTTAAAAATCAGACTATTTATAAAATTGGCAGAAATTGGACCCGGGCCGGACACGAATTCTTCGTATAGGACCCACAACAGTCATAAACGAACACAGAAGATAATTCATTAAAATTTAAAGCTCGTAGGCATGCTAGCCGAAAAGGAAAGGAAAAGGCTGGTGGAAGTTCTTCAACACCAGCAGCCTCCTTTGATGAAAATAATTTTTCTCTTATTGAATTGTCCCTTTTACTTCGGACATTTAATCGCATTAAAATTGAAGAATTGAAATTGGACGGGCCAACAAACAATTTACGCAAAAATATTATTGAAATTGGAAACAAAAGAATTTCTACTTTAATTTCAAACATTCCAAAGATTTTCGAATCCGAATCGTTTAAAATAACATCAGAAAAATTAGAGAAGGTTTATTTTTAAATTTATATTTAAAAATAAATTTTATTTTTATAAAGATTATTGAATATTATAATGGAAAATTTGATAGAAAATTTGAGGACTCGATTGATTCTTGTACGTTTTATTGACCACGCTCTTTCCTTTCTCAATATTTATAGTTGACTGGGGAGCAGGGGTGTCCGCAATCTGAAAAAAATTTTCCGTAGCCGCAATCCGTAACCCTCAATTTTAATTTTGAATCCGCAACACGCAATTGCACGCAATCCGCAATAAGCAACCCGCAATTTGGGGATATATGGGATAATCTGAGGAACTAAGGTGGATAGAGGTATTAACGGTGGTTTTGAGTGATATCATTGATCTGGAAGTATATAGAAGATCAGGGATACTTCGGCAAATCAGGTTGCTAAATCACTGATAAAAAGATTTTTTCTTTGATATCAACTAATCCCGAGATAGCAGAAATATTCCGTCCACCGATATCCATCATAGTCCAAATAGCTGGATTAAGAGAGGATGTACTTATTACGAGAAATTTTGAGAATTTTAGAAGGCCAAAGAACCAGACTACTTCCTTTTGAGAAAATCTTTTGAGAAAATCAAAATTTTGAGAAAATCAAAGAAGCCAGAATTTTTAATTTTTTGGTTGGTGTGATGCGAATAATTGCGTGAAAATTGCGTAAAAATTTCAAAAATCCGCAATCCCCAACCCGCAATTTTTATTTTATCCGCAATTGCGGACACACCTGCTGAAGAGAAATAGTAAAATAAGTAAAACAACTTACATAACTTTTAAGCTCGACAATTGCAACTGAAAAAGATTGAGATTGGTATAGAGAATAAGAGTATAGAAATGACTTTTGAGGAATATTCTGCCTATTTAGACAGTTATAGACTTTTACCATATAAAAAAGATTACTCGTCATCAAATACAAAAAACAAATTGACTCAAGAAGCTATAAATAATTTGAACACTTTAGGGTAATAAATATTTAATTGTAAACCGCTCAAAGTACAAGTTTCAACTGACTTTACGATAATTTGAACTGGGCCCTCTTTAAAAATATTTTCGACCCTTTATGGGTTGCCTTGAATTTTTGTAGATTTTAGGTGGAATTATAGTTGTGAAGCACCTATTTTTTCAAAAATATTTAATAAAATTTTTAATCTTTCATTAATCGAAAAAATTCTTTGGGTAATATGGAATATAGCCTATATATATCATTTTACAATATTTTCAGTTAAGTTAATCTTTAAAATCATCCTTAAACTCGAAAAATTGGGGTGGAGTTATACATAGTTATGAAGCAGAGCCTACTACAAAATTTTAACCTCAAATGTAACAGACTTTATTAATTTCAATATAAATTAAGTGATGCGGAACTCTTTTTACTCTCCACCTATTTTGAAAATCCAAATCCAACCATTCTTGATAGAAATATATTTATTGTTTGGAATTTAATTAAATTAATTCAACATTTAATTCGTTTGTTTATTAAATTTCACGGACAAAATAAAAATTACTACAATGATATTTTAATTAATTTTTATAAAAAAAGACACGAAAAACAGTAAGTATTTTTATTAAAATATTTTTAATAAATACCAAAATTAGGAATGTTGTTTCTGTTCTGATTTATGTTAACAGTTACAATAATCTTGAGTGGGTCTCAAAAAAGTTGAAAGAAAAAGGTTAATTTATTTTTCAATATTTTATAATTTTCCTTGGGTTAAATTGTGACTCTGAAAAAAGTCACCGGAAAAAAGTTTTTGCCACTGCGAAGGAAGCAAGGCATATCGAGCGGAACGTCGCCCGCTAATTCGCTACGACACAGCGAAGCACGGTCATTGTGTAGCGAAGAGATACAGTCTATTATCTGCATATTCGAATTTTTTACCACAAAAAACAGCATACTCCTCCCATGCTTTTTCGATATTCAATCGACTATAGCTCTGCGAGTTTTTGTCTTCGGTAGAAAATACATGCATATTTAAACTCAGCTCGGCAAACGGAATCAAATGGTATATATTTCGATCTCGGTGGGCATATACTAAAGTAGAGTCTAAAAATAATAAATCCGGCACTGTATTTTAAAATAATGCACTCTTTTTTGCTCTATTTCTGGTCGACTTCATCCTATTTTTGCCCTATTTTTTAGTGTCTGTGTCCTATTTCAGTATTTTGGCAAGGACAACCTGGGGCTTATAACCATACACAACAATTATCGACTCTATTACACAATATACCTAGAATCAACTATTATGCGTCTAAATTTATACGTCCAATGAAAATTTATACGTCCAATCAAATTTTATGCCTCCAAACATATCTTTATCATTTATAATTTAAAATGAATATAATTAAAAAAATAATTTATAAATAATCCCGTAATTCGTAAATCCCGTAATCCCGTTCGTCGGTTAAAATACGGGATTTTGGGATAGGATCACGTAAAATCCCGTTCGGGATCCTGTCCCGTGCCGACCTCTATTTTTTCATTTGTCTATATGTACATAAATTAAATTTTAGGAAACGATTATTTTCAATTTTTACTCCAAGATGAGAGCAATGAATATCCGACAAAAATTTCTCTAGATTCTGAAATTCAAGTGGAAGTATTTCTTCCTTTACTTTATACAACTTATGGTAGTTTTATTTTAAAATGATGCAAAATCGCAGTCCTGAAATCCTGTAACGTGATTTTTCACAAAATATCGTATGGGTGGGATCAGCGGGATTAATCTGTGGATCATAATTCCGTTCCCATATTTACTTTACAGTCAAAAGTGAGTCAAAATAATTCATGAGTCAGAATTTAAAAAAAATAAGCAAAATTAATTGTCAAATAAACTTAATTACTCGTAGTATATTTTTAAAATATTTTTAAAGTATCCAATGAAAAATTGAGCAAATATAACTGCAATTTAATAGAAGAAAGCTTGAATAGTTCTAAAGATTTTAATTCTTTATACATTCAACTGAAAAATATAAATGATGGTTTGGCAGAGAAAATTAAAAGAATTACAATTAACATTTTGTTGGATGACGAAATAAACCAAGAATACCTCTTTACTGGTTTCTACAGTAACATACTCGACCATAAAAATAACGAAAGCATTGATGAAATACATCAAATGATTTTCGATAAAGTTTTAAAAAATTATTTAATAGCTAATTTTGATAATTTTGAGATGAAAAAAATGTGTGGTGAACACTGGGATACTTCAACTTGGGGATATCAACATGATGATGGACAGGGAAGTGCTTTGGGATACAATCAACCAAGTGTTCTAGGAAATTATTTCACTGGACATCAGCAGCAAAACTATGGATATCAGACAGACTATGGCAATCAACATATTTATGGATATCAACAAAATTTTGGGGATTATACAGGACACCGACAATATATTGGACATGGACACGAACAATACACTGGACATGGAAACTACAACATGGAGCATTTCAAAGAAAATATGGAAATCCAAGGAGGTTCGGGATATCATGTTGAAGAAGATACGGATGCAAAGGAAGAAGGGGAATTTAGTGACTGAAATGGTGAGCGCTGGAAAAATGATTTGGAGGTTGGGAATTCAGCTGATGATAATTTAAAGCTTTGCGTTTGACATTCCATAGAAAACCTTTCTTAAATCTGACAAAAAATTTAAATTAAAGGTAAAACTGAGCTTTTTGTTTATTTTCGGAGTGGCTATTTCGAAATTTAAATTTCTGATGGGGTTTTCTTTTAAAAAGATTTTCAAAAATTTGATCTTGTGGCGTTAATAAAAGGAATTCTGGCCTATGTCTGTGACTTTGACCTTTAAAAGAAAAAAGAGCTGAGGAAAACTGGAAAGGAAAGTGCGGTCATTTAACAGAAAATCTGACTTAGTAGCACTATTGCCTAAACATTATTAAGCTTTTATCTTTAATTTAAATTTAATTTTCGTTTTGATAGAATTCTTTCATTTTATAAACACTTCCCCCATTAAATTAAACAATTCGGCGCGCCGAAATTTGCGGATTTTAATTTGCGGACCCGAAATTTGCGGATTTTAATTTGCGGATCTGAGATTTGCGGACCAAAAATTTGCGGACCGACAATAGAGTATTATCTTTTATGAAATTTTATTTTAAAAATTGATTTAATTAAGTGTAAGCTAGGGAGTAAAGAGAGAAAGAGAGAGAGAGAGAATTTTTGAGTGTCTAGAGCTATTTCGAAACAAGAATAGCTAAGAAAATCGAAATAGAAAATATTGAAAATAATTTTCAATTCCTCCAACTGAAAGAGAATAGACTTTTTAATCCGGACCCGTAATTCTTTGTATTCTAGGTGTCAGTATTTTGTCATCCTTATTCCAGAAACTGCAGAAAATCAGTAATTTCCTTTTATGTTTCGGAATTCACGAAATCGGGAGTCAACTTTCTCGAAAAATTACGTTCCCGATTTTAGAAATTTCTTGAAAAATTTGAAATTTTTTCTGTCATTTTCTCTAAAATTTATTGCTTCTTGTCTTCAAAAATTGTAACCCCACTTTTTGAAGTAGAAAACAACATAAGTATATCCACAAACAATATAGAACCGAAGATTTCAGCATTTGGAACCGAAAACTTATTTTTTAATCATAACTTTTTTAATTACCCCTTTATAAAAGAATTATTCCCTTTTAGCTCCACAAAATTACTTTCGTAAAAATTTAAAAAAATCGCCAAAAAGTCAAACTCGAAAATTCGAACGATAAAGATCTAGGAAATCGAAATTTCGAAACAGCTCTGACAGTGATTTAATTTAACAATTATTAAGGGCTATTAAATAGACGCGCCTGGCTTTACTCTCCACTTTTAATTTACCTCTCTACATAGTCTTTTTCATTTAAACATAGCTAAAAAATTTAAAAAATGAAGGATTTAATTTTAATTTTACTTTCAATTTTTGTCATTAAAGAATTTCAACTTGAATTGACTGATGGAATGTTTACAGGAAGTTGTTTGTATTTTTATATTTTTAATTTGAGTATAATTCACACTGGCAAAGACATACATGGATACGGATAATATCCGGATACCTGCGGATATCTGCGGATACGGATGGATATGATGCTCTGGGTATATTCGCTGATACAAGCGATATCTGGATGCGGATAGCAAAATTCGTGTCCGGATACAAGGAACCGCCAACCTTATATAGAAACTAATAAAAATCTAAATTAAAGCTCGTGGTCATGCTAGTCGAAAAGGAAAAGAGAAAGCTAGTGGAAGTTCTACGACACCAGCAGTCTTCCATGAAACTGAATTTTCTCTTGTTGAATTGTCCCTTTTAATTCGGACATTTAATCGCATTAAAATTGAAGAATTGAGATTGGACGGGCCAACAAACAATTTACATAAAACTATTCGTGAACGTGGAAATACAATAACATTAATTCCAAACATTCCGAAGATTTTTGAATACAAATCGTTTAAAATTACATCAGAAAAATTAAAAAAGGTTCATTTCTCAATTTATATTTAGAAATAAATTTTATTTTTAATTAAGATTATTAACTATTATAATGAAAAATTTGATTCAAAATTTGTGAATTTGATTAATTATTGTAAGTTTTACTGACCACTCTCTTTCCTTTTACTCATTAGATATGGTGTTTCGACAGTTGCGGATACGCACGTACGGATGCGACAATTGCGGATTTGATAATTGAGGATGCGAAGAACATAAAATAAACATATGTAAAATGAACATAAAATAAAAAAATTTCCCGTTAAGCCTAGCTTAACTTCTTAAATATATCTCATTAATCACCTTAATCCTTTTATATCCATCTTAATCCACTAAAATACCGAGAAATATCGATAAAATTTCGAGATATCTCGACGATTCTCGTACGACCCTCACAGTCCGGTCTCTACTTCAAAGTTTACTACTTCAGTCTTTACTTCAACTTCCGGTCTCTACTTTTTGGAAATTTTGAGGACCCCTTCACCAAAACCCACTGTCTCCTCTTCCAAACCCTTCAATTAAAGTAGGGTAGTTATCTACTATGTATCTCCATCATTAGGGGTTTAAATTTTTTGCGTTTGGCTCGCCAAAATAGGATAACATGCCATGAAGTTCAGCCATGGCGTGTATTTTTTAAAGTATTTTTAAAAATATTCTTTTAAAATAAATTTAGAAGCAGAGATTATTTTAAATAATGAAAAGTATTAATTTTTAATATTTATTTCAATAAGATTTTTATTTTTTTACAATTTTCGTCCGCAATTGTCGTATCCGCACGTGCGTATCCTGCAATTGTTGTGCCGACTTAGATATGGATCATAACCTCCTTTTTCAGTTTTATTCTAATATTTATATTTGTGTGGGAAGACTAACATAAACTTTATTGTTAAGATCCACAATTGCAACTGAAAAAGATTGAGATTAGTTTAGAGAATAAGAGTATAGCAAAGACTTTTGAGGAATATTCTGCATATTTAGACAGTTATAGACTTTTACCATATCAACTGGATTCCTCATCATTAAATACAAATGAGGAATTGACTCAAGAAGTTATAAATAATTTGTCGACTATTAGGTAATAAATATTCATCCGATTAAAAACCGCTCGACGTACAAGTTTAAACTGGCTTTACAATAATTGAAACTAAGCCAATAATTTAGATATTTCCGGAGCACCCAAAAGAGATATATTCGGATTTAAATTATGTATCATCCTTTAGAGTTTTTAACCATAATTTACCAAATGAACGATAAAAAATTCCAAACTTTTTAGAGATTAAACAAAATTTCAAAACTTTTTCGGCAATTAAAATCAAAATTTTCTGTGCCCAATAATACTACAAAATATTAGCTCTCAAATGTTTTATACCGTATAACCTGTATTAATTTCCCTCCCTCAAATAATTACCCCACCTCCATTAATTACCCCATCCAGCGATAGATCGAAACAATAATTACCCCCCCCCCCAACAAATGCCCTAAAACATGTTCAAATTTCAAACCTCGTATAATTACCCTCCCTCAATTAATTACTCCCTCCAGCGGAAGGTTGAAACAATAATTACCCAGGGTAGTTATTAAAGGATATACGGTAATTATTAATTTTAATTAATATAAATTAAGTAACGAGGAACTCTTTATGCTCTCTACCTATTTTCCTTATTCAACAAATATTGCAACCGATCTTGATAGAAATATATTTATTGTTTGGAATTTAATTAAATTAATTCAACATTTAATTCGTTTGTTTATTAAATTTCACGCAAGAAATAAAAATTACTACAATGATATTTTAATTAATTATTCTGAAAAAAGACACGAAACCCCGTAAGTACATATTTTTAATGAAATACCTATTTAAAAAAAACCAAAATTAGGAAAGTTTTGTCAATTCTGGTTTATGTTTACTGTTACAATAATCTTGAAGAATTCTCGAATAAGTTGAAAGAAAACGGTAAATTTATTTTTTAATTTAACTTAGGGTTAAATTAAGACTCAAGACCAGACGTGGGCGAAACGTTTCGTTTCGTTTCGTTGTTTCGTATGTTTCGTGGGTTTTTTTGAGTATCGTTTCGTTTCGTCACGAAACACTTTTTAATTTGTTTCGTTTCGTTTCGTTACGAAACACCTGTGATTTTTCAACGAAACGAAACAATTTTTTAAGCCTAAACTAAGGCCAAAATCTATAAATTTTACCATTTTTTATTGAAAATTTGAAAAATTTTCGCCTGCGGCGCTGAAAAAAGAAAAATTTCGGCTTCTTGGCCCTCCTAAATTGTCAAAATTTTCGCCTGCGGCGCTAAAAAAAGAAAAATTTCGGCTTCTTGGCCTTCCTAAATTGTCAAAATTTTCGCCTGCGGCGCTGGAAAAAGAAAAATTTCGGCTTATTGGCCTTCCCAAATTGTCAAAATTTTCGCCTGCGGCGCTGAAAAAGGAAGATATCAATTACTTATATATACTTTATATTACATATATCGTCCGATATCAATGACTTATATACTACAAATCCATTTATACTCCACTCCCTAATCCACATATACATATTGCTTAATCGACGACAAATGCTATTACCGGACTCGTATCATAATATAAAAATTGCGGATTTAAAATTTTTCGTCTGCGGCGCTTAAAATAAAATTTTACTTGAAAAGAAATTCAATTTTTTGAAAAAAAGCGTCGCCAAAAATTCGGCTCTGAAAATGATTGACCCCCCTCCCCAAAAATTTTCCTTGCTACGGGCCTGGCTTATGGGACACAATTGTTGTAAATAAACCAAAAACTAAATCATTTATAAGTCATAGGCGACTGATAAAGTATTTGAGGTCGAATAATTGCAAAATAAATGCAGTTTTGAAAATTTTTTGAATATTAAAAGGTTTCGTTTTGTTTCGTTTCGTTTCGTAAGATTTTGGTTGTTTCGTTTTGTTTCGTTAACGAAACGATTTTTAAAAAAATTTGTTTCGTTTCGTTTCGTCAGAAAAAAATTTTGAGTTTCGCCCAGGTCTGCTCAAGACCGCCCTTTTAGCTAATTCTTAAAAAATATAAGAATAACTACATTGTGCAAATA